CGGAAAAGCTTTTGATAAAATCCAACATCCCTTCATGATAAAAGCTCTCAACAAACTAGGTATTGAAGGAACACACCCCAAAATAGTAAGAACCATCTATGACAAACCCACAACCAACATCATACTGAACAGGTAAAAGCTAGAAGCATTCCCCTTAAGAACTGGAACAAGACAAGGATGTCCACTCTTTTTTTTTTTTTCCTTTAAGTTCTCGGACATATGTGCAGAATGTGCAGGTTTGTTGCATAGGTATACATGTGCCAGGGTGGTTTGCTGCACCCATCAACCCGTCATCTAGGTTTTAAGCCCCACACACAGTAGGTATTTGTCATAATGCTCTCCCCCTCCCCTCGTCCCCCATCTGCTGACAGATCCCGGTGTGTGATGCTCCCCTTCCTATGTCCATGTGTTCTTACTGTTCAACTCTCACTTATGAGTGAGAACATGCAGTTCTTGGTTTTCTGTTTCTGTTGTTAGTTTGCTGGGCATGATGGGTTCCAGCCTCATCCATGTCCCTGCAAAGAACATGAACTCATACTTTTTTATGGCTGCATAGTATTCCATGGTGTATATGTGCCACATTTTCTTTGTCCAGTCTATCATCCATGGGCATTTGGGTTGGTTCCAAGTTTTTGCTATTGTATATAGTGCTGCAATAAGCATATACATGCATGTGTCTTTAGAATAGAATGATTTATAATCCTTTGGGTATATATCCAGTAATGGGATTGCTAGGTCAAATGGTGTTTCTGGTTCTAGATCTTTGAGGAATCGTCACACTGTCTTCCACAATGGTTGAACTAATTTACACTCCCACCCTCAGTGTAAAAGCATTCCTGCTTCTCCGCAGCCTAGCCAGCATCTGTTGTTTCCTGATTTTTTAATAACTGCCATTCTGATTGGTCTGAGATGGTATCTCATTGTGATTTTGATATGCATTTCTCTAACGACTAGTGATAATAAGCTTTTTTCATATGTTCGTTGGCATCATAAATGTCCTCTTTTAAGAGGTGTCTCTTCATGTCCTTTGCCCTTTTTGATGGGGTTGTTTTTTCTTGTAAATTTGTTTTAAGTTCTTTGTAGATTCTGAATATTACAACTTTGTCAGGTGGGTAGATTGCAAAAATTTTCCTCCATCAGGTGGGTTGCCTGTTCAGTCTGATAATAGTTTCTTTTGCTGTGCAGAAGCTCTTTAATTAGAAGGCATGCCTACTCTCACCACTCCTATTCAACATAGTACTGGAAGTCCTAGCCAGAGCAATAAGTCAAGAGAAAAAAATAAAAGGCATCTAAATAGGAAAAGAAGTCATGTTACTAATTTGACCTTTCCTCTAATAATTTAAAGACAAGAATGCCTAGTTTCACCACTTCTATTCAGTGTAGTACTGGAAGTCCCAGTCACACCAATTAGGCAAGAGAAAAAAAAAATTAAAAAGACATCCTATTAGAAAAGAGGAAGTCAAACTTTCCCTCTTTACAAACAATATGATCTTATCTCTTTTTTAATGATACTACCAAAACAACTCCCAGAATTGGTAGATAAATTGAGTAAGGCTACAGGATACAAAATCAATGTACAAAATAAGTAGCATTTCCATATATCAGTAATGAAATAGCTGAAGAAGAAATCAAGAAAGCAATTCAACAAAAGCTACAAAAAAATTAAATATCTAGAATTCAAGCAATTCTCCAGCCTCAACCTCCTGATTAGCTTGGATTACAGGGACCCACCACCACGCCCAGCTAATTTTTTTGTATTTTTTAGTAGAAATGGGGTTTCACCATATTGGCCAAGCTGGTCTGGAATTCCTGATATCAGGTGATTCTCCAAGCTTCAGCCCCCCAAGTGCTGGGATTACAGGCATCAGCCACCACATCCAGCCTTGTATCTTATCTCTTACATTCACCCTCTCCAGAGGCTAGGTTTAGCAATGTATTTGTTCAACAGCTACTTTGGTGATGGCAACGGGGTTACATGTGGGTACTGGGTTAGGTAACTAGTGTACACCCATAGTTTCTGAATCTAATATAAAAATCCAGGGCTTAAGGGAATAGAGCTTCACTTCTAGCACCCAGTCTTACTGTCATGGCTTTATAACTTTTTAAGGCAAAGAAACCACAGCTGGCACACCTACCTACCGACAAGTGACAATTCCCCACTCAGATCATTTTTGAATTAAATTTAACCAAGGAGGATTAAAATCTCTACAAAACAAATGAAAATACTGATGAAAGAAATTGAAGAGGACACAAACAAGAGGAAAGACATATCATGCTAATGGGTCAGATGAATTAATATTGTCAAAATGACCAAACTGCCCAAAGCAATCTAGATTCAATGCGATCTCTATTACTACCAATATCATTTTTCACAGAAAAAGAAAAAACAATTCTAAAATTGACATGGAACCAAAAAAGAGCCTGAATACCCAAAGCAATTCTGAGGAAAAGAACCAAGCTGGATGCATCAGACCACCTGATTTCAAAACATATTATAAGGATATATTACCCAAAACAGCATGGTATTGGATTAATATAGACACACAGACCAATGAAACAACATACAGAACCCAGAAGTAAATCCACAAATTCACAGCTGACTGATCTTCAACAAAGCTACTAAGAATATATATTGAGAACAGGATAGAATAGCACATCTTCAATAAATCGTGCCAGAAAAACGAGATAACCATGTGTATAAGAATGAAACTGAACACACCTCTCAACATGTAAAAAATAAAGATGGATTAAAGACTTAATCATAACACATGGAATTATAAAAATACTAGGAGAAACCTCTCCAAGACATTGGTCTAGGCAAAGATATTATGCCTAAGAACTCAAAAGCACAGGCAACAAAAATAAAAACAGACAAATGGAACTATATTAAACAAAAACTTTCTGTGAATCAAAAGAAAAAACAGGTTGAAGATACAACCTTTTGAATGAGTTAAAATATTTGCAGATTACTCAGTCAACAGGGGACTAGTAACTAGAATCTACAAGAAACTCTCAAAGAACTCAACAGTAAAAAAGAAAAAAATCACATTTTAACATATGCAAAAAAATAAAAGTGGACATTTCTCAACAGAAGATATACACATGGCCAATAGGTATATTTAAAATGCTCAGCATCATTAATCATCAGGAAAATGCAAATCAAAACCATTATGAGATATCCTAGTTAGAATGGCTATTATTAAAGGAACAGAAAATAACAGATGCTAGTGAGGATGCAACAGAGTATATAAGAGAACTCTCATACACTGTTGGTGAAAATGTAAATTAGTCTAACAACTAAGAAAAACAGTATGGAGATTTCTCAAAAAAAAAAAAAAACAAACAGAACTACCCTACAATCCAGCAATCCCAATACTGGGTATCAAACCAAAGAAAAACAAATCAGTATATCAAAGAGATAGGTAGCTGCACTTGAACATTTGTTGCACCGCTATTGATAATAGCAAATATACAGCAACAACCTAAGTATCCACAAACAAACCAATGCATTAAGAAAACGTGGTGGGAACGTCGACCAAGATGGCCAAATCAAAACAGCTCCAGTGCACAGCTCCCAGTGAGAGAGATGCAGAAAATAAGTAATCTCCGCATCTCCAAATGAGGTACAAGATTTATTTCAATCAGACTGGTTAGACAGTGGGCATAGTGCAGAGGGCTAACCAAGGCAGGGTGGGGCGCTTCTCCACCCAGGAAAGGCATCTGACCAGAGGATCAGGGGCTTCTGCCACCCACCGGCACAGTGGTCCAGATATTGCACTCCTCCCAAAGCCTTTGGAACCCACAGACCAGGAGATCTTCATCGGGCTGAAAAGCACCCGAGTTACCTGCATAGGGCTGAATAGCAGCCCTGGTAAGTACCAGGGATTGTCAGAACAGATCTAGGCAGAGGCACTGGCTGGCCAGGGGAGCATACATGACAGAGCTACCAGCCCCCTAAAGAGAGGGGGTGCTAAAAGCAGGGAGACAGGCCATAGGCTAAGCAGGTCCCACTCCCTTCCCCCACAAAGTCCAGCAGGCTGAAGCCCTCTCGCTTGAGGGTTTTGCAGCAAGTACATCAATTTGAGCTCCACCCAGAAAGATCAAGCTTGGTGTGGGGAAGGGCATCCACCAATACAGAGGTGGATCCAATCTCCCGGTATAAACAAAAGACATAGGAAGCCTAAACAGCAGCCAGATTGTATCTGTGGCAGCCCAGGAGCACCTCTACAGGCAGACAAGAGACAGACTACATCATCAAGCAGCTTCCTGAGATCAAAGCTAGATAAATACAAAGAGATGGGAAGAAACCAGCACAAAAAGGATGAAACCATCAAAGACCAGAATGCCTCTCCTCCTCCAAGGGATCACAATTCCTCACCTGCAAGGGAAAAAAACATAATGGAGAATGAGTTTGACAAATTCACAGCAGCACATTTCAGAAGGTGGGTAATAACAAACTTCTCTGAGCTAAAGAAACATGTTCTAACGCACTGCAAAAAAACTAAAAACCTTGAAGAAACGTTAGACGAAATGCTAACTAGAATAACCACATTAGAGAAGACCATAAACGACCTGATGAAGCTGAAAAACACAGCATAAGAACTTTGTGAAGCCTACACAAGGTTCAATAGCCAAACTTATCAATCAGAAGAAAGGATATCAGAGATTGAAGATCAACTCAATGAAATAAAACGAGAAGGCAAGACTAGAGAAAAAAGAGTAAAAAGAAATGAAAAAAGCCACCAAGAAATAGGGGATTATGTGAAAAGGCCTAATCTATGCTTGATCGGTGTACCTGAACGTGATGGGGAGAATAAATCCAAGCTGGAAAACACTCTCCAGGACATTATCCAGGAGAATGTCCCAACCTAACAAAGCAGGCCAACATTCAAATCCAGGAAATACAGAGAACACCACACAAAGATATTCCTGAAGAAGAGCAAACCCAAGGCACATAATTGTCAGATTTGCCAGGGTTGAAGTGAAGGAAACAATGCTAAGGGCAGCCAGAAAGAAAGGCCGGGTCACCCACAAAGGGAAACCCATCAGACTCACAGCAGATCTCTCGGCATAAACCCTACAAGCCAGACAGAGTGAGGGCCAATATTCAACATCCTTAAAGAAAAGAACATTCAACCCAGAATCTCATATTCAGCCAAACAAAGCTTCATAAGTGAAGGAGAAATAAAATGCTTTACAGATAAGCAACTACTGAGAGACTTCATCACCACCAGACCTGCCTAACAAGAGCTGCTAAAGGAAGCACTAAACATGAAAAGGAACAACCAGTACCAGCCAGTATGAAAACATACCAAATGGTAAAGACCAAGAACGCAATGAAGAAGCCGTGTCAACTAATGGGCGAAAAACCAGCCAGTAAAAAAATGGCAGGATCAAATTCATACATAACAATATTAACATTAAATGTAAATGGGCTAAATGCCCCAATCAAAAGACACAGACTGGCAAACTGGATAAAAACTCAAGACCCATCAGCGTGCTGTATTCAGGAGATCCATCTCACAAGCAAAGAAACAAATACACTCAAATAAAGGGATGGAAGAAGATTTACCAAGCAAATGGAGAACAAAAAAAAGCAGGGGTTGCAGTCTTAGTCTCTGATAAAACAGGCTTCAAACCAACAAATATCAAAAGAGACAAAGAAGGATATTACATAATGGTAAAAGAATCAATCCAACAAGAAAAGCTAACTCTCCTACATATATATGCACCCAATACAAGAGGACCCAGACACATAAAGCAAGTTCTTAATGACCTACAAAGAGACTGAGACTCCCACACAATAATAGTGGGAGACTTTAACACTCCACAGTCAATATTAGACAGATCAACAACACACACACAAAAAAAAATCAACAAGGACACTCAGGACTTGAATGCGGATTTGGGCCAAGCAGACCTCATAGACATCTATAGAACTCTACACCCCAAATCCACAGAATATACATTCTTCTCAGCAGCACATTGCACTTACCCTAAAATTGACCACATAATTGGAAGTAAATCACTCCTCACCAAATGTAAAAGAATAAGGACCTAGAAATAGAAATTCCATTTGACCCAGCAATCCCATTACTTGGTATATACCCAAAGGATTATAAATCATTCTGCTATAAGGACACATGCACACGAATGTTCACTGCAGCACTGTTTACTATATCAAAGACTTGGAACCAACCCAAACGCCCATCAATGATAGACTGGACAGGGAAAATGCGGCACATATACACCATGGAATACTATGCAGCCATCAAAAATGATGAGTTCATGTCCTTTGTAGGGACGTGGATGAACCTGGAAACCATCATTCTCGGCAAACTGACACAAGAACACAAAATCAAACACCGCATGTTCTCACTCATAGGTGGGTGTTGAACAATGAGAACACATGGACACAGGGAGGGGAGCATCACACACTGGGGTCTATTGGAGGGAAACAAGGGAGGGACAGCAGGGCATGGGGAGTTGGGAAGAGATAGCATAAGGAGAAATGCCAGATATAGGTGAAGGGGAGGAAGGCAGCAAATCACACTGCCATGTGTGTACCTATGCAATAATCTTGCATGTTCTTAACATGTACCCCCAAACCTAAAATGCAATAAAAAGAATGGAAATCATAACAAACAGTCTCTCAGACCACAGTGCAATCAAACTAGAACTCAGGATTAAGAAACTCAACCAAAACTGCACAACTACATGAAAACTAAACAACTTGCCCCTGAATGTTAATGAAACAAACAATGAAATGAAGGCAGAAATAAAGATGTGCTTTGAAACCAGTAAGAACGAAGACAAAATGTACCAGAATCTCAGGGACAAATTGAATGCAGTGTCTAGGGAGAAATTTACAGCAATAAATGCCCACATGAGCAGTGAGGAAAGATCTAAAATCAACACCCTATCATCAAAATTGAAAGAGCCAGAGGAGCAAGAGCAAAAACACTCAAAAGCTAGCAGAAGGCAAGAAATAACTAAGATCAGAGTGGAACTGAAGGAGACAGAGACACAAAAAACCCTTCAAAAAATCAATAAAACCAAAAGCTAGTTTTTTGGAAAAAATCAACAAAATAGATAGTCTGCTAGCCAGATTAATAAAAAACAAAAGAGAGAAGAATTGAATAGATGTAATAAAAAATGATAAAGGGGATATCACCACTGAAGCTACAGAAAAAACAACCACCATCAGAGATTACCACAAACAACTCTATGCACATAAAAGAGCAAATCTGGAAGAAATGGATAAATTCCTGGAGACTTAACACCCTCCCAAGACTAAACCAGGAAGAGGCTGAATAGCTGAATACACTAATAACAAGATCTCAACTTGAGGCAGCAATTAATAGCCGACCAACCAAAAAAAGTCCAGGACCAGATTGGTTCACAGCTGAATTCTACCAGACATACAAACAGGAGCTGGTACCATTTCTGCTGAAACTATTTCAAACAATACAAAAAGAAGGAATCCTCCCTAACTCATTTTGTAAGAACATCATCATCCTTATACCAAAACCTCACAGAGACTCAACTAAAAAAGAAAACTGCAGGCCAATATCCATGATAAACATCAATGCAGAAATCTTCAACAAAATACTGGCAAATTTAATGCAACAACACATCAAAAAGCTTATCCATCACGATCAAGTAGGCTTTATCCCAGGGATGCAATACTGGTTCAACATACACAAATCTATAAATGTAATCCATCACATAAACAGAACCAAAGACAAAAACCACATGATTATCTCAATAGATGCAGAGCGGCCTTTGACAAACTTCAACAGCCCTTTTGCTAAAAACTCTCAATAAACTAGGTATTGATATAACGTATCTCAAAATAATAAAAGCTATTTACGACAAATCCACAGCCAATATCAAAATAAATGGGCAAAAACTGGAAGCATTCCCTCTGAAAACTGGCACTACACAAGGATGCCTTCTCACCATTCCTATTCAATATAGTATTGGAAGTTCTAGCCAGAATAATAAAGCAAGAAAAAGAAATAAAAGATATTCAGTTAGGAAAAGAGGAAGTCAAACTGTCTCTATTTGCAGACGACATGACTGCATATTTAGAAGACCCCATCGTCTCAGCCCAAAACCTCCTTAAGCTGGTGAGCAACTTCAGCAAAGTCTCTGGATACAAAATCAATGTGCAGAAATCACAAGCATTCCTACAGAACAATAACAGACAAACAGAGAGCCAAATCATGAGCAAATTCCCATTCACAATTGCTACAAAGAGAATAAAATACCTAGGAATACAACTAACAAAGGATGTAAAGGACCTTTTCAAAGTGAACTACAAACCACTGCTCAAGGAAATAAGAGAGGACACAAACAGATGGAGAAACATTCCATGCTCATGGTTAGGAAGATTCAATATCGTGAAAATGGCCATACTGCCCAAAGTTATTTATGGATTCAACGCTATCACCATTAAGCTACCATTGACCTTCTTCACGGAACTGGGGAAAAAAACACTTTAAAACTTTATGAAACCAAAAAAGAGCCCACATAGCCAAGGCAATCCTAAGCAAAAAGAACAAAGCTGGAGGCATCACACTGCCTAACTTCAAACTATATTACAAGGCTATAGTAATCAAAACAGCATGGTACTGGTACCAAAACAGAGATATAGACCAATGGAACAGAACAGAGGCCTCAGAAGAAATGTCACACATCTACAACCATCTGATCTTTGACAAACCTGACAAAAACAAGCAATGAGGAAAGGATTCCCTGTTTAATAAATGGTGTTGGGAAAACTGCTAGCCGTCTGTAGAAAGCTGAAACTGGACCACTTCCTTCTACCCTACACTAAAATTAACTCCAGATGGATTGAAGATCTAAACATAAAACCTAATACCATAAAAACCCTAGAAGAAAAGCTAGGCAAAACCATTCAGGACATAGGCATAGGCAAGGACTTCATGACTAAAACACCAAAAGCCATAGCAACAAAAGCCAAGATAGGCAAATGGGATCTAATTAAACTTAGGAGTTTCTGTACAGTAAAAGAAACAATCATAAGAGTGAACCGGCAACCAACAGAATGGGAAAAATGTTTTGCAATCTACCCATATGACAAAAGGCTAATATCCAGAATCTACAAAGAAATAAAGCAGATCTACAAGAGAAAAACAAACCCATTCAAAAGTGAGCAAAAGATATGAGCAGACACTTTTCAAAAGACATTTATGAAGCCAACAAACATATGAAAAAATGTTCATCATCACTGGTCATCAGAGAAATGCAAATCAAAACCATATTGAGATCCCATCTCATGCCAGTTAGAATGGTGTTTGTTAAAAAATCAGGAGACAACAGATGCTGGAGAGGAGGTGGAGAAAAAGGAACACTTTTACACTGGTGGTGGGAATGTAAATTAGTTCAACCATTGTGGACAACAGTGCGGCGATTCCTCAAGGATCTAGAAATAGAAATTCCATTTGACCCAGCAATCCCATTACTGGGTATATACCCAAAAGATTATAAATTGTTCTATTATAAAGACACATGCACACGTATGTTCACTGCGGCACTGCTTACAATAGCAAAGACCTGGAACCAACCCAAATGCCCATCAGTGATAGACTCAACAAAGAAAATGTGGCACATATACACCATGGAATACTATGCAGTCATATAAAACAATGAGTTTGTGTCCTTTGTAGGGACATGGATGAATCTGGAAACCATCATTCTCAGCAAACTGACACAAGAACAGAAAACCAAATGCCGTATGTTCTCGCTCATAGGCAGGTATTGAACAATGAGAACACATGAGCACAGGGAGAGGAACATCACATAATGGGCTCTGTTGTGGGGGGCTAAGGGAGAGCCAGCAGTGGGGTAGGGAAGTTAGGGCAAGATAACCCAGGGAGAAATGCCAGATATAGGTGACAGGGGGATTTAGGCAACCAACCACCTTGCCATGTATGTACCTATGCAACAATCCTGCATGATCTGCACATTACCCCACAACCTAAAGTACAATTTAAAAAAAAAAAAAGAAAGAAAATGTGGTATATATATTAATGGAATACTATTTAGACATAAAAAAGAATGACATCATACCACATGAAGCAGCATGGATGAAACTGAAGGTCATTATGTTAAATAATTCAGGCAGAGAAAGACAAATACTGTATATTTTTACTCACATCTGTAAGCTAAAAAACCTAATCTTACGGTGATTAGGAATACAATGATAGATACCATATACTGGGAAGGGAAAGTGGGACAGTAGGGATATACAAAGGTTATTGGTACTAATATGCTGTTAGATGGAAGAAATAAGTTCTAGTGTTTGATAGCACACTCGGGTTTCTATACTTAGGAACAATATCATGTACACTTCAAAGCAACTGAAAGAGAAGACTAGAAATGATACCAACACATATAATTGATAAAAACTCAGGGTCATGGAGACCCCAAATATCCTGACTTCATTATTACAAATCATATGCATGCAACAAACACTCACATATAATCCATAAATTGGTAGATTATTATACATCAATTAAAGAGGGGAAATAGGAACAAAATACCCACACAAAAGTAATTCTGGAACTAAAAATTACAAGTGAAATAAAATATTCACTAGATTGTTCAGCATCAGATTTCAGCACAAAAAGTAATTAGATAACTAGAAGATAGAACAATTAAAATTATTGAGTCTGAAGAGGATAAATAAAGGAAAAAGAAAAAAGTGACCAGTGGGATACCACCAAGCCGACCAACATACACATTACGAGAATCCCAAGAAGAGAAGGGATCAAGAAAATGGTAGAAATACTATTTGAATAAATGATGGCTCAAAACTTCCAAAATGTGATGAAAAACATAAATCTACAAATCCAAAACCTCAATAAACTCCAAGTAAGATCAACCCAAATAGACTCATGTTGAGTTACATTATAATCACATTATAATCAAACTCATGAAATTCAGCCTAAAAAAGAGACAATCTTCAAAGCAGCAGGAAAGAAGTAACTCATCACATATATGGTCTCCTTAATGAGAGTAATAGCTGATTTCTTGCCAGAAACCATGGAGTACAGAGGCAGTGAGATAACATATTTAATGTACTAAAGAAAAAAAAATATTAACCTTGAATTTTATATCCAGCAAAATCTATACTTAAAAATTAGGGAGAAATTAAGATACTTACAAATAAAAACTGAGAGAAGTCATTACCACTTCACCTGTATTATAAGAAATGCTAAATGGAACCCTTCAAATTGAAATGAAAGGATGAAGGCAGTACCTCAAATCCATATGAAGAAATAAAGACTTCTAGTAAAGATAAATAGGTGAGCAAATATAAAAGCCAGTATTATTATGTATTTGGCTTCTAATTGTCTTTTTTATTTCCTACATGATTTCAAAATCAAATACATAAAAAACAATATAAACTACATAAAAACTATACAAACAATGTATAAATTATTTATACCTTGAGTACACATGTGTAAGATATAATTTGTGTCAACAATAACATAAAGTGGATGGACAAAGCTGTAGAGAAGGGCTTTGTATTTATTAAAAGCACTTTGTATCAATTCAAATTTTATAGCTATAAATTTGGAAAGGTATGTGTAATCAACATGGTAAGCACAGAGAAATTATCAGTAGCACATATACTAAACAAATAAAATCAAAATGTGTCACTAGAAAAAATCAACTAAGGAAAGCAATAATGGAGGAAATGAGGGACATAAAAAGGTATAATAAGAAAAATGGCAGAAGTTAGTTCTTTCTCATTAATAATTTCTCTAAATATATATGAATTAAATTCTCCAATCAGAAAAAAAAAAAAAGATTGGCATAAGGGGCAAAGAAAACATTCTACGACTATATATTGTCTACAAAATCTCACTTTAAATCCAAAGATACACGCAGATTGACAGGAATGTGATGGAAAAAGATATTCCATGCAAACAGTAACCAAAAGAGAGCTAGGGTAGACATAATCATATCAGAAAGAAGAAACTTTAAGACAGAAATGGTTACAAGAGACAAGAAACCTGATAATCAGCTCATCCCAAAGATATAACAATAAACATGTATGCACCAAAACACAGAGCCCCAAAATATAAAAAGCAAACAATTAAAGAATTGATGGAGAAATAGAAATTGTTGCAATAATAGCTGGAAATTCAATATTCCACATGAAATAATTGAAAAAGTCTCTACATGGAAGGTTACTACGTATAAATGACACTATATACTATCTACACCTAAAAGCGTATATGAAATACTCTATCTCAAAACAGAAGAATAAAAATGCTACTCAAGTATATATGAAACATTCACTGGGACAGACCATAACTTAAGCCATAAAACAACTGATAAAAAAATTTTAAAACAGTAACATAACACAAAGGATCTTCTCTAAATACAATGGAATGAAGCTAGAAATCCATCGCAGAAGAAATTTCCACAAGTATGTGGAAATTTAAAAACACACTCAAAGAACCAATGGAACAAAGAAGAAATCACAAGGGAATTAGAAAATATTTAGAGATGAATATTAAAAAAATACAACATACCAAATACAACATACTATGCCATGTAGCAAATGCAGTTACTCAGAAGGAAATTTATAGCCATAAGTGCCTACGTTTTTAAAAAGTTGTATCTCATTAATATCCTAAGTTTGTACCTTGAGAACCCAGAAACAGAATAGCAAACTAAACTCAAAGATAGAAGAAAATAAATAATAAATATGAGAGTGGAAATTTGAAAAGGAGAAGGGATAGAAAAACAACTGACAATCATTAAAGCAAAAGGTTATTTTCTGAAAAGAATGTCCAAATTAGCAAACCTTAGCTAGACTACTAAAGGGAAAAAAAAAAAAGGATACAAATAACTAAAATCTGAAATGACATGAGAATACTACTATTAACTATAAAGAAATAAAAAGGATTATTAGATAACGAAAACAATTATTAGACACATTACAATGAATCCATCTGATCCTGGGCTTTTCTTTGTTTAGAGACTTTTTGTTACTGACTCAATCTTGCTACTCATTACTGGTCTGTTCAGGTTTGCATGATGTAAAAACACTTAATCAATTATTAGATAGAGTAAGTATTAGTAAGAAAGCTGCCATTTTATCACTTTTTCTCTCCATATATAACAGCATTTTTGTCCTTCGTTTCCTCTATTATTGCTTTTTTTAGTTGATTTTTCTTTTTATGTTTATTTTTTTATTTTTATTTTTTAGACAGAGTCTCACTCTGTCACCCAGGCTACAGTGCAGTGGCACAATCTAGGCTCACTGCAACCTCTGCCTCCCAAGTTTAAGCAATTCTCCACCTCAGCCTCCCAAGTAGCTGGGATTATAGGCACATGCCAGCATGCCCTGCTAATTTTTTGTATTTTTAGTAGAGACGGGGTTTCGTCATCTTGGCCATGCTGGTCTTGAACTCCTGACCTTGTGATCCACCCTCCTTGGCCCCCCAAAGTGCTGGGATTACAGGTGTGAGCCACCGCACCCAACCCTCTTAGTTGATTTTTTTTACTGATATCTTTTTATTACATTTGTTTCATATATATACTGTGTTTATATGAATTATTAAATATAATATTTATAAATTATAAATAATTTCCCATCAAAATTAAATAATTTAGATGAAATGGACAAATCGCTAGAAACCTCTGGATTACCTAAACTGACTCAAGAAGAAAAGTCTTAACTAATATAACAAATGAAGAGACTAAATCAGTTATCAAAACCTTCCAACAAAGAAAAATTCAGGAACAGGCTGATTCACTGGTGAATTCTACCCAACATCTGAAGAATTCCAAACCCTATAAAACTGTAATAACAACTAAAAGAGGATATAATACGTCCTAACTCATTCTGTAAGGACAGCATAATCCTGATACCAAAGTAAGAGTAAATTAAAGATATTTCAGTAATGTAAGGTTGGTTTAACACTAAAAACTCAATTAATAGAATATACTACACCAGTATAATGAAAGACAAAGACAAGGCTGGGTGCAGTGGCTCATGCCAGTAATTCCAGCAGTTTGGGAGGTCGAGGCAGGTAAATTGCTTTGACTCAGGAGTTCGAGACCAGCCAAAGTAACATGGCAAAACCCTGTGTTTACAAATAACTAGCAGGGCATGGTGGCTGACACCCGTAGTCCCAGTTGCTTGAAGGGCTGAAGTTGGAGGACTGCTTGAACCTGGGAAGCAAAGGGTACAGTGATCCAAGTCATGCCACCACACTCTAGCCTGAGTGTCAGTGAGACCCTGTCTCAAAAAAAAAAAAAAAAAAGAAAAGAAACAAGGAAAGAAGAGAAAAGCCATATGATCATTTCAACAGATGCAAAAAAAAAAAAAAAAAGTAAAAGAATTTGCCAAAATACAATAGTCCCTTCATAATGATAAACACCTGATGGGAGGAGGTGGAGCAAGATGGCTAAATAGAAGCCACAAGCAATTATCCTTCATGCACAAACACCATGTTGAACAACTATCCACAACACAAAAAGCACCTTCTTAAGATCCAAAACTCAGTTGAGCAATCAGAATACCTGGTTTTAACATCATATTAAAGAAAGAGGCATTGAAGAAGGAAGGACAGTCAATCTCAAGACACCCACACAACCCCTCCCACATACCCCAGCAGTAGCTGCATGGTTCAAAGACAGAAATTATGTTCTTGGGAAAGGTAGACCATAGGAACTGAGGGACTTGGTACTGCAAATCAGTGCTACTCTGTCATAGTAGAAAGCAACATGGGGCAGAACTCAGCTGGCACCATGGAGGGAGCATTTAGATCAGCCCTAGCCAGAAGAAAGTCTCCCAACCCAGCAGTTGGAACACGAGTTCAGGAAAGCCCTGCCACGATGAAATAAAGTGATCTGAGGTCCTAAATAAACTTTAAAGGCAGTCTAAGCCACAAGGACTGCAATTCCCAGGCTGTCTTAGTGGTGTGCTAGACTCAGAGCTGGTGGACGTGAGGTGCATGTGATCCAGTAAAAACACCACCCAGGGCAGCAAAGGGAGTACTTGTATCACCCCTCACCGAAGCCAAGGCAATGCAGCTCACAGCTCCAGGGCAGACTCCTACCTTCTGCTAGAGAAGAGAAGAGAATAAAGAGGACTTAGTCTCACAACTTAGACACCAGCTGAGCCAAGGTACAATAAAGCACGAGGGAGTGCCCTGAAGCACCCATTCCAGGACCTAACTCCTGAACAACATTTCTAATCACAACCTGGACCAGAAAAAACATACTCCTCTGAGGGAAAGAACTGGTCCCAATTGGATTCATCTGCTAACTAAAGAGCCCTTGGGTGATGGACATGTGGAGGGACTTCTCAGCTTAAGGAAAAGAGAGGGAAAAGTGGGAAGGACTTGGTATTGAGGCTTGGCTGCCAGCTCAACCACAGGGGAAGAGAGCATCAGATAGATTACTACTTTTCACAACTCCAGGCCCTGACTCCCAGATGGCTTCTCTATAAATGGCCAGAGCAACCTTGCCATATTGGAAGGACACAGGTCTGTTTGGCTGGATTAACAAACTGCTGATTGTGGAGTCCCTAGTCCCTTGAATAAACACAGGCAATAACCACACAGTGAGATCCATAGGCCTTGGGTGAGAACCAATGCTATAGTAGCTTTAAGTATGACCCAGCTCATTCCCAGTGTTGGTGGTCACAGGGGTGCTTGTGTCACTCATCCCCTAAGTCCAGGCAGCTCATCATAGAGAAAGATTCCATTTGTTTGGGGGAAAGTAAGGGAAGAGAGCAAGAGTCTCTGCCCAGTAATCCAGGAAATTCTCCCAGATCTCACACAAGACCAACCAGGCAGCACTTCTATTAGTCTGCAAGAGGCACAGTGTTACTGGGCTTACAGTGCCCTCTAATGCAGATAAGGCTACAATGACCAAAGACATAGATCACAACACCCAAGTTCCTTCAAATATCAGGAAAGCCTTCCCGAGAAAGATGAGTACAAACAATCCCAGACTGCAAAAAATGCAACAGATACCTAACTCCTCAATGCCTGGATACCAACGAATATCCACAAGCATCAAGGCTATCCAGGAAAACATAACCTCAGCAAATGAACTAAATGAATAACCAAGGGAAAATCATGGAGACACACAAATATGTGATCTTTCAGACAGGTAATTCAAAATAGCTGCTTTGAAGAAGTTCAGTTAAAGTCAAGATAACACAGATAAGGAATTCAGAATTCTATCAAATATATTTAATAAAGAAATTGAAGCTATTAAAAAGAATAAAGCAGGAATTCTGGAAATGAAAAATGTAACTGACATACTTAACAACGCATCAGTTTCTTAAAAGCAGAACTGATCAAGCAGAAGAACTAGTTAGATTGAAGACAGGTTATTTAAAAATACAGAGACAAAAGAAAAAGGAGTAAAAGGAATGAGGCACACACACAAGATTGAGAAAATAAACTGAAATAGGCAAATCTAATTGTTACTTGCCTTAAAGAGGAGATAGAGACAGAAGTCAGGCTAGAAATTTATTCAAAGAGATAATATCTGAAAACACCCCAAACCTAGAGAAAGATATCAATATCCAAGAACAAAAAGGTTATACAACATGAAGTAGATGTAACCCAAAGAAAAACTACCTCAAGTCATTTAATAATCAAAATCCCAATGCCAAAGACAAAGAAAGAATACAAAAAGGCAGCAAAAACAAACAAACACACACACACACACACACACACACACACACACACACACACACACAAATAACATACAATAGACCCTCTGATACATCTGGCAGCAGATTGCACAGTGTAAACTTTACAGGCCAGGAGAGAGTGTCATGACATATTTAAAGTGCTGAAGGGGGACAAAAAAAAAAAAAAAAAAACTTTTAACATAGAATAGCATATGCAGCAAAAATATCCTTCAAAGAAAGACTTTCCCAGACAATCAAAAGCTGAGGGATTTCATCAACACCAAATCTGTCCTACAAGAAAGGCTAAAAAAAAAAATTCTTCAATTGGAAAAAAAATAAAAAATAACATTAATAAGCAATAAGAAGTAATACAAAGGAACACAGCTCACTGGTAATATCAAGTACACAGACAAATACAGAGTAATACAAAACTGTAATTGCAGAGTAAACTACTCATATCTTGAGTAAGAAGACCTAAAGACAAACTATCAAAAATAACCGTGACAACTTTCAAGGCATATACAGTACAATAAAATATAAATAAAAAGAACAAAAAGTTACAAAACAGGATGAAAATTAGAGTTTATCCTAGTTTTCTCTGAGTGTTTGTTAATTTGTTTGTATATGCAATCAGTGTTAAGATGTAATCATTTTAAAATAATGGGTGATAAAATTAATATTGGCAAGCCTCATGTGGTAACTTCAAATCAAGATACATACAATAGATACACAAAAAATAAAGAGGAAGAAATTAAATCATACCACCAGAGAAAATCACCTTTACTAAAAGGAAACCAGAAAGAAGAAAAAATGGAAGAGAAAACCACAAAACAACCAGGAAACAAATAACTAACGGCAGGAGTAAGTCCTTACTTATCAATAAAAATGCTGCAGATAAATGGAACAAATCTCATTAATAATGCTGAAGATAAATGGGACAAACTCTCTACATATATATATTTTTTAAAACAAGGTTCAATGATATGTTGCCTACAATAAATTTCAGGGGACCAGGCATGTTGGTGCATACCTGTAACCCCAGCACTTTGGATGGCAGAGGCAGGAGGGTCACTTCAGCCTAGGAGTTTGAGACCAGCCTGGGCAACACAGCAAAACCTCATCTCTACAAAAAATTAAAAAACAAAAAATTAGCCAGATGTGGTGATATATGCCTGTGGTCCCAGCTACTTGAGAGGCTCAGGTGGGAGGATTGCTTGAGCCTGGGAGATGGAGGCTGAAGTGAGCCATGATCACACCACTGCACTCCAGTCTGGGTGACAGAGCGAGACCATGTGTCAAACCACAAAGACACACACACACACACACACACACACACACACACACACTCTACAAAGATAGCCACAGATCGAAAACAAAAGGGTGAAAAAATATTCCATACAAAATGAAAACCAAAAATGAGCAGGAGTAGCTATACTTCTACCAGAGAAAATAGATTTCAAGACAAAAACTACAAAAAGAAATAAAGAAGCTCACTATATAATGATAAAGGGGTCAATTCAGCAAGAGAATAAAACAAATATAAATATATATGCACCCAACACTGGAGCATCAAGATATATAAAGAAAATCCCTTATTTGAGCTAAAGAGAGAAAGGCCCCAATACAGTAACAGCTGGAGGCTTCAAAACCCCACCTTCAGCATTGGATAGATAATCCAGACTAAAAATCAACAAAGAAACATCAGACTCACCTGCACTATAGACTAAATGTGTCTAATAGATATTTATACCACATTTCATCCAATGGCTACAGAACATACATTCTTCTTCTCAACATGTAGATCATTCTCAAGGATAGGCTGTATGTTTACCACAAAACAAGTGTAGACAATTCAAAAAACCAAAATTATATCAAGCATCTTCTCTGACCACAGTAGAATAAAACTAGAAATAAGTAACAAAAAAAAAATTGGAAATGATGCAACACATGGAAATTAAACAACATGCTCCTGGATAACCAGTACTGCAATGAAGAAATTAAGAAGGAAACTGAAAAATTCCAAGAAGCAAATGATAATGGAAACACACCATACCAAAACCTATGGGCTACAGTGAAGCAGTACTAAAAGTGAATTTTATGCTATAAGCATCTAAATCAAAAAAGCACCTAACAAATAAACTACCTAACAATGCATCTTAAAGAACTGGAAAAGCAACAGCAAACAAAACTCCAGATCAGAAGAAAATAATAAAAATCCAAGCAGAATAAATGAAACTGAAACATACAATACAAAAGAACAATGAAGAGAAAATTGTTTTTTTGAAAGATAAACTAAATAGACAAAACATTAGCCAAATTAACTCAGAAAAAAAGAGAGAAGGCCCAAATAAGTAAAATCAGAGATGAAAAGGCCGACATTAGAACAGAAACTGCAGAAATTCAAAGGACTATTAATGACTACTATCAGCAACTATATGCTAATAAATTTAAAAATCTAGAATTTTAAAATTCATAGACACATACAACCTACTAAGATAGAACCATGAAGAATCGAAAACCTGAAGAGATGAATAAGAAGTAATGAGATTGAAGCCTTAATAAAAAGTTTTCCAATAAAGAAGTCTCCCAGCTATAGAATTCTACCAAACATTTAAATAAAAACTAACACTAATCCTGCTCAAACTATTTGGAAGAACAGAGAAAGGATACTTTCAAACTCATTAAAGAAGGCCAGTATTACCCTGATACCAAAGCCAGACAAGACACATCAAAAAAAAAAAAAAAGGAAACTACAGGACAATATTCCTGATGAACGCTGATGCCAAAAATCCTCAATAAAATACTAGCACCAAATCAAAAAGATTGATCATCATGACCAAGTGGAATTTATTCTAGGGATGCAAGGATGGTTTAACAGGCAAATCAATCATTGGGATACATCATGAGATACATCATATCAACAGAATGAAAAACAAAAACTGGCCAGGTGTGGTGGCTCACACCTGTAATCCCAGCACCCTGGAAAGCTGAGGTGGGCGATTACCTGAGGTCAGGAGTTAGAGACCAGCCTGGCCAACATGTCAAACCCTGTCTCTACTAAAAATACAAACATTAGCCTGGCATGGTGACCCATGCCTTTAATTCCAGCTACTTAGGAGGCTGAGGCAGAAGAATCACTTGAACCCAGGAGGCGAAGGCTGCAGCAAGCTGAGATCACACCACTGCACTCCAGCCTGGGTGACAGAGCAAGACTCCATCTCCAAAAAAAAAAAAAGAAAAGAAAGAAAGAAAGAAAAACAAAAAGTAGATGATCATTTCAATTGATGGTGAAAAAGCATTTGATAAAATTCAACACTATGTCATGATAAAAACTCTCAAAAAAAACTGGATATAGAGGGAACATAACTCAAAACAATAAAAGCCATAAATGAGTGACAGCTAGTATCATACTGAATGTGGAAAAGCTGAAAGCTTTATGCTAAAATTTGAAACATGACAAGAATACCCACTTTCACCACTGTTACTCAGCACAGTACTGGAAGCCCTAGAGCAATCAGACAGGAGAAAGAAATAAAGGTCATCCAAGCTGGAAAGAAAATAGTCAAATCATCCTTGTTTGCAGATGATATAATCTTATATTTAGAAAAACCTAAGGACTCCACCAAAAACCTATTAGAATGAATAAACAAATTCAGTTGCAGGATACAAAATCAACATACAAAAATCAGTAGCACTGCTATAAGCAAACAATCTGAAAAAAAATTAAGAAAGTAATCCCACTTATGATAGCTACAAATAAAATTATATACCTTGGAATTAACTTAACCAAAGTAGTTAAAGATATCTACAATGAAAACTATAAAACATTGATGAGAGAAACTGAAGAGGATACAAAAAAAATTTTGAAAAATAATACCTTGCTCAGGCAAGATAACTGAATAGGAACAGCTCCAGTCTATAGAAGGCAGGTGATTTCTGCATATCCAACTAAAGGACTTGGTTCATCTCACTGGGACTGGTTGGATGGTGGGTACAGCACACAGAGGGCGAGCTGAAGCAGGGTGGGGCATCACCTCACCTGAGAAAAGCAAGGGGTAGGGAAAATTCCCTCCCCTAGTCAAGGGAAGCCCTGAGAGACTATATCAGGAAGAATGGTGCATTAGGGCCCAGATACTGCACTGAATTTCACACGGTCTTCTCAACCAGCAGACCAGGGGATTCCCTCAGGTGCCTACACCACCAAGGTCCTGGGTTTCATGCAAAAAACTGGGTGGCCATTTGGGCAGACACCAAGCTAGCAGCAGGAATTATTTTTTATACCCCAGTGGCACCTGGAACACCACCAAGACAGAACCATTCACTCCCCTGGAAAAAAGGCTGAAGCCAGAGAGCCGAGGGGTCTGGCTCACCAGGTCCCACCCCCACGGAGCCCAGCAAGCTAAAATCCACTGGCTTGAAATTCTCTCTGCCAGTACAGCAGTCTGAGGTCAACCTGGTACACTAGAGCTTGATAGTGGGAAGGGTGACCACCATTGCTGAGGGTTAAGTGGGTGGTTTTACCCTCACAGTATAAACAAAGCCACCCAAAAGTTTGAACTCGGCAGAGCCCACCACAGCTCAGCAAGGACACTATGGCCAGACTGCCCCTCTAGATTCCTCCTCTCTGGGCAGGGCATCACTTAAAAAAAGGCAGCAACAACAGACAGAGACTTATAGAAAAAACCCCATCTCCCTGGGACAGAACACCTAGGGGAAGGGATGGCTGTGGGAGCAGCTTCAGCAAAATTAAACGGCACTGCCTGACAGCTCTGAACAGAGCAGTGGATCTCCCAGCATAGTGTTTGAGCTCTGATAAGGGGCAGACTGCCTCCTCAAGTGAGTCCCTGACCCCTGTGTATCCTGACTGGGAGACACCTCCCAGTAGGGGCCTACAGACACCTCATATAGGAGAGCTCTGGCTAACATATGGCAGGTGCTCCTCTGAGAAAAAGCTTCCAGAGGAAGGAACAAGCAGCAATCTTTGCTGTTCTGTAGCTTCCACGAGAGATATCCAGATAAACAGAAGCTGGAGTAAACCTCCAGAAATTCCAGTAGACCTACAGCAGAGGTGCCTGATGGTTAGAAGGAAAACTAACGAACAGAAAACAATAATATCAACATCAACAAAAAGGACAACCACTCAGAGACCCCATCTGAAGGTCACCAACATCAAAGACCAAAGGTAAATAAATCCACAAAGATGGGGAGAAATCAGCACAAAAAAGCTGAAAATTCCAAAAGCCAAAACACGTCTTCTCCAAAGAATCACAACTCCTCGCCAGCAAGAGAACAAAACTGAACAGAGAATGAGATTGATTAACTGCCAGAAGTAAGCTTCAGAAGGTGGGTAATAACAAACACCGCCGAGCTAAAGGAACATGTTCTAACCCAATGCAGTAAAGTGAAGAACCTTGAAAAAAGGTTAAGAGGAATTGCTAACTAGAATAACCAGTTTAGAGAAGAACATAAATGACCTCATGGAGGTGAAAAACAGCATGAGAACTTCATGAAGTATACACAAGTATCAATAGCCAAATCATTCAAGCAGAAAAAGAATATCAGAAACTGAAGATCAACTCAATGAAATAAAGCGAGAACACAATATTAGAGAAAAAAGAGTGAAAAGAAATGAACAAAGCCTCCAAGAAACATGAGACTATGTCAAAAGACCAAATCTGTATTTGACTAGTGTACCTGAAAGTGACTGGGAGAATGAAACCAAGTTGGAAAACACTCTTAAGGATATTATTAAGGAGAACGTCTGCAATCTAGCAAGGCAGGCCAACATTCAAATTCAGAAATACAGAGAACACCACAAAGATACTCCTCGAGAAAAGCAAACCCAAGACACATAATTGTCAGATTCACCAAGGTTGAAATGAAGGAAAAAATGTTAAGGGCAGCCTGAGAGAGAGGTCAGGTTATTGATAAAGGTAAGCCCATCAGAGCAACAGCAGATCCCTAGACAGAAACCCTATAAGCCAGAAGAGAGTGGGGGTCAATATTCAACATTCTTAAAGAAAAGAATTCTCAACCCGGAATTTCATATCCAACCAAGCTAAGCAAAAGAGAAATAAAATCCTTTACAGACAAGCAAATGCTGAGACATTTCTGTCACCACCAGGCCTGACTTAAAAGAGCTCCTGAGAGAAGCACTAAACATAAAAAGAAACAATCAGTATCAGCCACTGCAAAAACATACCAAATTGTAAAGACCTCACTGCTAGGAAGAAACTGCATCAACTAACAGACAATATAACCAGCTAGCATCATAATGACAGGATCAAATTCACACATAATATTAATCTTAAATGTAAACAGGATAAATGCCCCAATTAAAAGACAAAGACTGGCAAACTGGATAAAGAGTCAAAACCCATCAGTGTGCTATATTCAGGAGACTCTTTTCAGGTAAGACACTCAAAATAAAGGGATGGAGGAATATTAAAGAAGCAAATGGAAAGCAAAAAAAAAAAAGCAGGAGTTGCAATCCTAGGCTCTGATAAAACAGACTTTAAACCAACAAAGATCAAAAGAGACAAAGAAGGACATTACATAATGGTAAAGAAATCAATGTAACAAGAAGAGCTAACTCTCCTAAATATATATGTACCCAATATAGGAGCACCCCGATTCATAAAGCAAGTTCTTAGAGACTTCTTAGAGTCCTATAAAGTGACTTAGACTCCCACAGAATAATAGTGGGAGACTTTATCACCTCACTGTCAATATTAGACAGATCAACAAGAAAGGATATTGAAAAGGATATCTAGGATTTGAACTCACCGCTGGACCAAGCAAACCTAACACACATCTACAGAACTCTCTACCCTATATCAACAGAATATATATTCTTCTCAGCACCACATCGCATGTATTCTAAAATTGACCACATAATTGGAAGTAAAACACTCCTCAGCAAATGCAAAAGAATGGAAATCATAATAAACAGTGTCTCAGACAACAGTGAAATCCAATTAGAACTCAGGATTAAGAAACTCACTCAAAAAACTGCACAACTACATAGAAACAGAACGATCTGCTCCTGAATGACTACTGGGTAAATAACAAAATTAAAGCAGAAATAAATAAGTTCTTTGAAACCAATGAGAACAAAGAGACAATGTACCAAAATATCTGAAACACATTTAAAGCAGTGTGTAGACGGAAATTTATAGCACTAAATGTCCGTAAGAGAAAGCAGGAAAGATCTAAAATTGACACTTTAACATCACCATTAAAAGAACTAGAGATGCAAGAGCAAATAAATTCAAAAGCTAGCAGAAGACAATAAATAACTAAGATCAGAGCAGAGCCTAAGGAGATAGAGAAATGAAAAACCCTTTAAAAAAAATCAATGAATACAGGAGCTGATTTTTTCAAAAGATCAACATATAAGACAGACCATTAGCCGGACTAATAAAAAAGAGAGAGGAATTAAATAAACACAATAAAAAATGATAAAGGGGTATCACCACGAATCCCACAGAAATATAAACTACCATCAGAGAATACTATAAACTCCTCTATACAAATAAACTAGAAAATCTAGAAGAAATGGATAAATTCCTTGACACATACACCCTTCCAAGACTAAACTAGGAAGAACTCAAATCCCTGAAGGACCAATAACAAGTTCTGAAATTGAGCCAGTAATTAAAGCCTACCAACCAAAAAAAAAGGCCAGGTCCAGACCAATTCACAGCCAAATTGTACCAGCGGTAAAAAAAGCAGCTGGTATTATTTCTTCTGAAAGTATTCCAGACAATAGAAAAAGAAGGAATCCTCCCAAACTCATTTTATGAGGCCAGCATCATCCTGATACCAAAGCCTGGCAGAAACACAAAAAAAGAAAATTTCAGGCCAATATCCCTGATGAACATCAATGCAAAAATCCTCAATAAAATACTAGCAAACTAAATCCAGCAGCACATCAAAAAACTCATCCACCACAATCAAGGCAGCTTCATCCCTGGGATGCAAGGCTGGTTCAACATATGCAAATCAATAAACAATCTATCACATAAACAAAACCAGTGACAAAACTCACATGATTATCTCAATAGATGCAGAAAAGGCCTTCGAAAAAATTCAACAGCACTTCATGCTAAAAAAAATCTCAATAAACTAGGTACTGATGGAACATATCTCAAAATAGTAAGAACTATTTATGACAAACACATACCCAATATCATACTGAAAGGCAAAAACTGGAAGTATTTCCTTTGAAAAACAGTACAAGACAAGGATGCCCTCTCTCACCACTCCTATTCAACATAGTACTGGAAGTTATTGTCAGGGCAATCAGGCAAGAGAAAGAAATAAAGGGTATTCAAATCAGAAGAGAGGAAGTCAAACTGTCACTGTTTGCAGCTGACATTATTGGATATTTAGAAGGCCCCACCATTTCAGCCCACAGTCTCCTTAAACCAATAAGCAACTTCAGCAAAGTCTCAGGATATAGAATCAATGTGCAAAAATCACAAGCATTTCTATACACCAATAATAGAGAAATAGAGAGTCAAATCATGAGTGAACTCCCATTCACAATTGCTACAAAGAGAATAAAACACCTAAGAATACAACTTACAAGAGATGTAAAGGACCTCTTCAAGGAGAACTACTGTTCATTGAAATAAAAGAGGACACAAACAAATGGAAAAACATTCCATGCTCATGGTTAGGAAGAATCAATATTGTGAAAATGGCCATACTGTCCAAAGTAATTTGTATATTCAATGTTATCCCCGTCAAGCTACCACTGACTTTCTTCACAGAATTGGAAAAAAACTACTTTAAATTTCATATGGAACCAAAAGAGCCTGCATAGCCAATATAATCCTAAGCAAAAAGAAAAATCCTGGAGGCATCATGCTACCTGACTTCTAACTATACTACAAGGCTACAGTAACCAAAACAGCATGGTACTGGAACCAAAACAGATATATAGATCAATGGAACAGAACAGAGGCCTCAGAAATAATGCCACACACCTACAATCTTCTGACCTTTGACAAACCTGACAAAAATAATCAATAGGGAAAGCATTCCCTATTTAATAAACAGTGTTGGGAAAACTGGCTAGCCATATGCAGAAAGTTGAAACTGGATCCCTTCCTTATACCTTATACAAAAATTAACTCAAGATGGATCAAAGATTTAAATGTAAGACCTAAAACCATAAAAACCCTAAAAGAAAACCTAGGCAATACCATTTATGACACAGGCATGGGCAAAGACGTCATGACTAAAACACCAAAACCAATGGCAACAAAAGCTAAAATAGACAAATGGGATCTAATTAAACTAAACATCTTCTGCACAGCAAAAGAAACTATCATCAGAGTGAAAAGGCAACCCACAGAATGGAAGAAAATTTTCACAATCTATCCATCTAACAAGGGCTAATAATACTCAGAATCTACAAAGAACTTAAATTTACAAGAAAAATACAACCCCATCAAAAAGTAGGCAAAGGATATGAACAGACACTTCTCAAAAGAAGACATTCATGCAGCTAACAAACACACGAAAAAAAGCCCATCATCACTGGTCATTAGAAAAATGCAAATCAAAACCACATTGAGACACCATCTCATGCCAGTTAGAATGGCAATCATTACAAAATCAGGAGACAACAGATGCTGGAGAGGATGTGGGGAAATAGGAATGCTTTTACACTGCTGGTGGGAGTGTAAATTAGTTCAACCACTGTGGAAGACAGTGTGATGATTCCTCAAGGATGTAGAACTAGAAACACCATTTGACCCAGCAATCTCATTACTAACGTATACACCCAAAGGATTATAAATCATTTGACTATAAACATATGTGCACATATATGTTTACTGCAGCACTGTTCCCAATAACAAAGACTTGGAAGCAATCCAAGTTCCCATCAATGATAGACTAGATAAAGAAAATGTGGCACATATATACCATGGAATACTATGCAGCCATAAAAAAGGATGAGTTCATGTCCTTTGCAGAGACAGGGATGAAACTGGAAACCATCAATCTCAGCTAACTAATATAAGAACAAAAAACCAAACACCACATGTTCTCACTTATAAATGGAGGTTGAACAATGAGAACACATGGACACAGGGAGGGGAACATCACACACCGGGGCCTGTCTGAGGGTGAGGACTAGGGGAGGGATACCATTAGAAGAAATACCTAATGTATATGACAGGTTGATGGGTGCAGCAAACCACCATGGCACATGTATACCTATGTAACAAACATGCACATTCTGCTCATGTACCCAAGAACTTAAAATATAATTTTAAAAAAGAAAGAAATACCTTGATCATGGATTGAAAGAGTCAATATTGTTAAAATGTCCATACTGCCCAAAGCCATCTATAGATTCTGTGCAATCCCTATCAAAATACTAATGATATTCTTTGCAAAATTCTTTTTAAAAATATGAAAATTATATGGAAGGCCAGGCGCGGTGGCTCACGCTTGTAATCCCAGCACTTTGGGAGGCCGAGGCGGGTGGATCATGAGGTCAAGAGATCGAGACCATCCTGGTCAACGTGGTGAAACCCCGTCCCTACTAAAAATACAAAAATTAGCTGGGCATGGTGGCGCATGCCTGTAGTCCCAGCTACTCGGGAGGCTGAGGCAGGAGAATTGCTTGAACCCAGGAGGCGGAGGTTGCGGTGAGCCGAGATTGCGCCATTGAACTCCAGCCTGGGTAATAAGAGCGAAACTCCGTCTCAAAAAAAAAAAAAAAGAAAGAAAGAAAGAAAATTATATGGAAACACAAAAAACCCAGGGTAGCCAAAGCTATCCTGAGCAAAAAGAACAAAACTGGAGGACTCACATTACCTGACTTCAAATTAGACTACAAAGCTATAATAACCAAAATCACATGGTACTGACATAAAAACAAACACATAGACCAATGGAACAAAACAGAGAACTCAGAACTATAGTCATGTATCTACAATGAACTCACTGTTAACAAAAGTGCCAAGAAAATACATCTGGGAAAAGACAGTCCCTTCAGTTAACGGTGCTGGGAAAACCGGATATACATAT